CCTCTTCCCTTGCCCCCTCTTCCCTTGCCCCCTCTTGCCTCCTCCACACCTTGTTCACCTCCACCCTTTGTCCCCCTCTCACTACCCTAGTGTCCAAAACTGGTGTAAACCTGTATACAACAATGCATCGTATTTAGGTTTCAGTGAAATGGGTGACTTTCGTCAGTATGTTTGCCTTGGAAGAAGCTCTGAAAGGACGTTTGAAAATGATTCCATTTGACTCAATCGAAGCACTCGACGTTGTCCTCCGATACTCCCTGTCATCACAGTACATTTCCATTGGTCGCTCGTTTTTCTCTCCACCAGTCAGGAACGTGAATTCTGCCAATCTGGAATGTGGTCGTGAAGTGTGGTTTGGATTTCATCAGAGTGTCCGACCTTCTCAATGGAAGATGCTTGTGAATATTGATTGTAAGTTGGCAAAGTCTGTAGACTGGCGAGTTTTGTTGTATATACTGTGATAACACTTTTTCCTGAGTCCTGACACTTTTATAGTGTTAGATGCATAGATTTTAATGGTCCTCAGGCATGGCTGAAGAAATAGAATTTTCCAAACTTGGGAACTTGGGCTGAACGCCGGGAACTTGGGCTAAACAAAAATTTCATCATATCTTGAAAGAGCATCACAAAATTAGTAATATTCCAAAGTTTCGTTGCGAAATGTTGTAAAATGCGGATAATATAGCCTTGCGAAGTTTGTAATTTTCAGTCATTTTGTATTACGCACGGAAGTGGTAACCATTTCCCGTTTGTAATACAAAATGACTGAAAATTTCAAATTTCGCAAGGCTATATTATCCGCATTTTACAACATTTCGCAACAAAACTTTGGGATATTGCTAATTTTGTGACGCTCTTTCAAGCTGTGATGAGATTTTTGTCTAGACTTGTTGAGTTCAAAATTTTGATTAATATGGGATTGGTCCATTTTTCACTTTTTTCTTAGCTTCTGCCACTGCCTTTCATAAAGCGATCTCGGTGATAGAATTTCTGTCTGAAGTCATTGGTGAAAATCCCCAGAGATTGCATCTTAGATCAAGTCTGAATGAAGAAGACAGAACGAAATTCATCAAAGAAATTAAAGGTGCGTGACTTTGTGTATTTGACATGCGCAAAAACCTACCCTCTTTTATTTGAAAGACAGGAATGTCTCCAAAAACGGGCGCTAGTCACTTTATTTAACTTATTAAGCACCAACACGACAAGTAAAATCGTCTGGCATTAGACAGAGTAAAATAACAAAATAGGGTGATTTCAGAACCACATTGTACACTTTGTGAGTGTTGTAGGCACGAGGGTTAGTGTCCCTGTTCCCCTAACTTAGGTAGGCTGGAGGGGATATTTTGGACCTATGAAAATCTTACGATTTGTTGGTGTGTAATTATTGTTGAAATTACTGCCACTTTTCACACAATGAATTACTGGTTTCTAAAGCAGTAGGGAAGTGCAATGTCCCTTTTCACATTGTACACTTTGTGAATGTTGTAGGCATGTGGGTTAGTGTCCCTGTTCCCCCAACTTAGGTAGGCTGGAGGGGATATTTGGGAACTATGAAAATCTTACGATTTATTGGTGCTTGATTATTGTTGAAATTACTGCCACTTTTCACACAGATGAATTACTGGTTTCTAAAGCAGTAGGAAAGTGGAATGTCCCTTTTCACATTGTACACTTTGTGAATGTTGTAGGCATGTGGGTTAGTGTCCCTGTTCCCCCAACTTAGGTAGGCTGGAGGGGATATTTGGGAACCGTGAAAATCTTACGATTTGTTGGTGTGTAATTATTGTTAAAATTACTGCCACTTTTCACACAGATGAATTACTGGTTTCTAAAGCAGTAGGGAAGTGCAATGTCCCTTTTCACATTGTACACTTTGTGAATGTTGTAGGCATGTGGGTTAGTGTCCCTGTTCCCCCAATTTAGGTAGGCTGGAGGGGATATTTGGGAACCGTGAAAATCTTACGATTTATTGGTGTGTAATTATTGTTGAAATTACTGCCACTTTTCGCACAGATGAATTACTGGTTTCTAAAGCAGTAGGGAAGTGCAATGTTCCTTTTCACATTGTACACTTTGTGAATGTTGTAGGCATGTGGATTAGTGTCCCTGTTCCCCCAACTTAGGTAGGCTGGAGGGGATATTTGGGAACTATGAAAATCTTACGATTTATTGGTGCTTGATTATTGTTGAAATTACTGCCACTTTTCACACAGATGAATTACTGGTTTCTAAAGCAGTAGGAAAGTGGAATGTCCCTTTTCACATTGTACACTTTGTGAATGTTGTAGGCATGTGGGTTAGTGTCCCTGTTCCCCCAACTTAGGTAGGCTGGAGGGG